AATGCTCGCGATTAAAGGGGAACTAACGCTATCCACCTCCAGATTTGATATCGACGTCAATGAATTATCGGTACTCACTGAAGTATTTCCAATATCAGACGAGGGTTCCGACACAGCTATGTTGCTGCTGCTAATGCGAATATCTATAAATGAAATAAATTTAATACGGTGCATGCTAAATGTGAGCTACATTGACAAATCTAACGTGTAAGAAATTTCACAATTTTTTACTCCTATTTTCCTGCAAAACCAGATGTATGGTTTGTATTTACATCAGATTACAAACATAATGATCACACAATCTGTCGTTAAAATATTTCAGCATTGAATTTGATTTAAGACTAGGGAATTATAAAGATAATGCATACGATATTGATAGCTAGATGTTTTAGTAATTTCTAGAGTAATGCAAGCCATATTAGAATCAAAGCGCTATTCTAAGTAAATTACTCTAGGTTGTCTTGCGTATCGCCTTTGAATGCCGGTGATGCAACTTAAATGCTCACAATATAGTAGACCTAAAATTTTTAATTTTCTAAAGAATATTATGCTATAGCTGCCTATCCTTTATCCATAAGCATCTCTATTAACTTAACTGCTTTGCTTATATTCTACTTAATTCTAATGGAAATCATTAAGCCTTCTGTTTAAAATCTAATTTTTAAAGTATTTTCAATTTCCAGTCTATCCCTATCGTAAGCTTCCAATTAACTTCTAATTTATTTATCACATTCTCTCAATTATCATTACTGTTTAAAGATTTCACTTAATTCGTTATGTGATTTTAGTTACCAGTATTAATAAAACCACTTACTGCATGACGTGGTAAAATTTTAGAAGATTGAGTGCGTATTATACCGTAATAATGCTAAAATTTATAATTAGCATTATGATGTAACGATTGAAATTGTTATTATTGTCTTCACATACATTATTATAACTTTATTTTTCCCTTTAGTGTGTGACTGATTACCGTAAGCAATGCATAAAATATCTTATACCATCAAATAATTATAATGTTAGAATTTAAAATTATTATCATGATATAAAATTTCAATCATATATCCTAAATTCACTTTCCCCTTTATCGTGAAAATGAATGCCACTACCAATGCACAGATTAAATTAGGCCATGTAAATAAAATGTTGATACTATTTTGGGTTACCTGTGCCTTGGATGTGCGAAATGTAATAATGTTATGATGTCGTCAAACTCAGTATTTGACTATTATATAAGCTTTGCGCCTTAATAACATTTATAAGCATATAATCTCTCTATAGCTAGCTGGTAATATAAACTGATTACAATATTTGAATTCATATCCAATTTTGAGCTCATAAACAGTGTTTGTATAAAATTAAGAACATATTCTGTTTTCTACATATTGGCAAAGCCCTGTAAACTGAAATTGGCTACACCATGCTTATCTATTAAAACGTATACTAGGCCGGATAGTTTAAGAGCAATGCCTAAAGAAGAGACGTCTGTAGAATTTTTTGAGTCTTATACGAACTACCACATTTTGGATTTTGCTAAGCAAAGGAGCAAATACTAACTTCATATATTTGGAACTAGCGCTAGACAAGTCTAATAAAATTAGTAAGAAACATGAGAGATAGAGAAGTCTTTATGGTACTTGATTTACGATTTTAGTCTTATAGGATAGCAAATATTATATGTAGCTCATGTCTATCATACTTGTATTATACAAGTAAGAAAACAATGATAAATAGCCGTGTCTTACCTTCAGATGTTGATGAGATTGATACTTCATTCTTTATGCTTGATGTTATTTCACAAGTGTATGAGGAAGATCCCAGCGTGTATGCCTCTGTTTAGGACGCATGTTGATAAAAAGTAACTGTGATCAGCCCTCATTTACAGAACTCTTAATATCTAACTTTCATTTGATAATTATAGACTAAATTACCCAAAAGTGAATCTGTATTGCTAGTAATGATCATCAATAAATGTAAGATATCATAAAAGAAGAAAAGAAAAAAAATAGTGCTTTATCAATCAATTATCAGACGTCCCCTAACGAGTGGTAAAATGAATGATAGCTGCTTATAATGAATCCGATATACTAAAATTGAAAGCAATCCATCACTTAAATTTACTATTTAAGCATAGACAAGTAGTATAATTTGAATAGCATTAACGAATATGTAATTGAAAATAGAATAATAACATTCTATTTAGTGAAAATGGCATTGATGATCGATAAATTACTTTTCTACCATCGATGGTGACAAAACTATACAAATAACAATATTGGTTTTTTTTATATCTTACTTTTTTCGCAAATAAAATGATAATTCTGATAGCATGTGCGATCGAACCATAACCACTCTTGTGATACAGGCACAAGTGCGACGCATTCCTGATATAGTAAATCAGGACTGAAAGTACTCCATTTTGTATATCCAGTATCAACTAGCGAAAGATTGCTCTTAGTCCAACGATGACTAGACATCTTGTCATCGCCTACAACATCCCTTAAGCCACACCAAGTGGTATCGCTTTGTAGAATATATTTCTTAAGAAAGCATTGTTTACTCTCATTTTTTATCTCAACTAAATAGCTATCGTCATTTTTACAATAACTGGTAGCTACTGCGAAACTGGCAGAAATGGCTACATATTTTAGGCAAACGTCATTATATTGGGTCCATCCAATATCACAACTGGGTCCAAGTGATCTTGAAATCTCTATATTTGTATTAAGCATTAGAATTAGTATTGAAATCATTATTGAGCTATCTTATAAAAATATCTTTATGGTAGAAGTATAATTTAATATATTACATGAACAAACAATGTTTTTAGTTCTGATATCAATTCAACGATGTTATTACAGAAAGCTAGAAAAAATAAATAAAAAATGTGTAGTACTCGTAACGGAATTATGTTTTCTCAGCATGATTTTTTACAGCTTATAGCCTATCCATTTTTTATAAACGAATTCCTTCATTAGATCGTTTTTAAATGATGTATTTAGGCATTAATCAAATTATTATTACAGCAGAGATGTCCCACATTAACAGAGACATTAGCTTAAAAGAGAACTTGCTGTGATGGAGGGTTCGAAGAGTCAGATAATGTGGTTTTAGTTACCATGCAGAGAATTGCACAAGGAGCCTGAGAAAAGGGATACTTTATTGTACATAGTAGTTAAGTATAATGTGATAATTACGGTAGATCAGCGTGGTAGCTGCCGTGAGTAAAGTGTAAATACTAACTGTGGCTAATAATGCAACTAAAGAAATCTAAGGTAGAAAACGGCGGTATTTATAGCTATGGCATTAGAACACATGCAGAGAACATGATTGTAGGATTAGATACAACATATACCATAACAGGTTATTGAATAACAGATGATTGTAGAAAATAGCTAGGACTGTAATAACTAAATGTAGTAAACCATATTTTAATGTAGAGCGAATAGACTGTAAATGTGTCTGTATTTAATAGCAATACAAAATTTCTATATTTAAGAGTAGATTACAGTGACAGTACAATCCAAATACACTACACTTGCTTAGGCACGATACTATATTTATATATTTTTTCGAGTTTAGCGGAATGTAGAGAATGAGTAATTATATGTAATCAATAACACGGACAAGGTATATTGCATTTCCGAATTTTGGTAACTAACCAAAAAATTTACATTCTAAAGTAGTAATACAGTTTCTTATTTTACACATATTGCCTGTACAAGAAACCTAGGCGTACAATAATCATTGCTGATAATACTAGTAATAGATTTATTATAAATATTTAATATAGCCATAAAAAAGGAATGTTAAGCGTGTTATGACTCTTTTTAAACTTTCGTAAATATTCGAGTATCAACATTTTAGGCTTTAAATATTTCAGTCTCTATCACTATACATAACAGATTTATGCACTGGTTAGATTAACGTTGGCTTTCAGTGACATAAAATTTTTTAAAGTGAAAAATGATCTAGTTGTTAATTTAGGAAGTACTGTAACATTAACTTATGAAGAGTGCCATATATGCCTAGAGCTATAAACATTACTTCGAGCGGTATTTACTATTATAGGAATTCAAGTAGAAATTAGCACTGATATTATTAGGTACTAGTACAAACTCACGTCGCTTTGCTGACGGTTTACGATAATGTACCCATTTGTTAATAATTAGCAGATAGTATTACCATTCGACATTATATATATCCCGGTAATAGCCAGGCACTACTATATTCACAGCTATGCTTGTCGAATACTACTTTTTAATAATGCATTCACGAATGAAATGCTATGAAATGCTATATTAAGATTAGTTCATGGTCCAAAGCACATTATGATAACTCATGTACGGTGATGGACATACCAAGTTAAGATTAGCAGGTACGGTAAGATATCGACAGCGCGGTACAATGTCCTTAGTACTGTGGTCAATTATATATCAACCATTATAGTGCGTCTAAGGATCGCTTGCTTATGCAAGCAAAGCTTACTCTGTCAATAACAACCGTTATAAGAAAATGTAACAATCAAAATGGTAGTGTAGAAAACTCTATAAAGATTTTATGTTTATTCCATTTCATCAGAGTATTACATCAAATCAAAATTGAAAGGTCTAGTGGCCACCCTTAGCGATATAATGAATACTATTTAAAAAATCAGTACTCTGCAGAAATTACTACCTTAGAGCTATTCATTTTACATGGAGAAATCTTAAGGTAAAATGTACTGTAAGATTGTTATACTGACCTATTGAAATGAACCCATAATGACAGTCATCTAACAGTAGTATAAATACCCCCGTGCTGCTTGTTTAAAGGGACGGTGGGTGGGATTACGATGAAAGATGAGAGAAGAAAATGATTGATACTGCAACTCTGCAATTAATTTTTAATTTGTAGACTAATAGAACCATAGAAACTGCCTATGAAACTTTTGAGATCCTAATTAAAGCCTAAGATAGCTTAAAATGTTGTAAAAATTTATACTCTGTTATACTATTTAATATTTACCATTTGAATACTAAATTAAACTGAAAATGAAAAATCAATATACGGAAAAAATTTTCAATATCGTACGACATTTTGTCCACAATAGACCTCTTAATTCTTGCTGAGAATGTTTTAAGCACTATATTTAGCCGCAATAAGGTAAAATCTACGATATTTACCAAGACTCAGCTTTTAATACCATTGCTGTCAAACGAAGTTTCTACCTAGTTAAGCCATCAAAGTACATATGAAAAGTATTGAGCAGTTACATACCTGCAGTCGACGACATTGGATATCCAACCGTTGACGAAGCCACAATATCTTTCACCGAATCTTAAAATAATAACGCATACAATATATTCACTTACTCCGTCAGCATACTACAGATATTGAATAAATAGCATAATTATATATTCTTAGGATATCTTATACACATTTTTTTTGACTATCCTAAACTTGGTAAATTATAGCAATTTGGTATTCAAATATTTTATTACTATAAAACATTAGATAATATAATTCTCAGAAACCGAAATGAAATATTTTCTTGCGAAATATGTAATGTACAAACTCCTTCATTCGAGGATTAGAACACGTAAAACATACCCTCATTTCTCTACTGTTATACATGTACAATTGTGGCTAGAATGATATTGCGGTAATGAAATACAACAGTATAAGTTGACGGCAACTTTTGAAATCAGACAATTTGCAAATTGCGAACTACCTTATTTATGAACTCCTTAAATTGATGATTACAACATATGAAATAAATCCGATTTCTCTACTATTATACTAGTAAAATTAAGACTAGAAGGAAATGGCAGTAGTGAAACAATAAATCAGGGTAAAAATTTCTTTGCAAAATATGGAATGTACAAACTCCTTCATTTAAGAAACATATTCTGTGCAGTAAACCTCATTTTATACTTTTGCGCAAGTAAAATTAGAGTTAGAATGATGTTGCAGTAATGAAATAATATATCGGCGATTAATTTGCGTTAATACAGACCATATCACCTACCTTGATATGCAATGAAAATTTGATATAATATAGTACTCAAATTGCATTGGATCACAATGAAATGATGATACAATTTTAGTACTTTCTTCATTGCATTTAATTACACTAACTTACTTTTTTCACAGATAGCATAATAAGTGTCGTCACAACTCCGATCATACCATTGGTAAGGCGGCGAATTGCGTAAAACTACGCAACGTTGAGAGGCTTTTCCGGGGTTAGAAAGCCCCCAGTTTTGATAGCCAGTAGCAATGACGGAACGATTGCTTTGCACCCATACATGATCATTGATGCTATCATTACCAACCAAGTCTATCAATCCTAACCAGTAGACATTCGATGAGTCTGGAACAGAACTTGCAACAAACGATTCCTTTTCCACACTATCAATTTCCATCAAACTACTTTTGATGTTTTGGCAATACTTTAACGCATTCTCATAGTTCATTTTGGAGGAAAATGAAATACATTTATCTCTGAATTGTAGCCAACCTGGATCACAAGTACCATTAACCGCATCAGAAGCGACTAAATATTACAGCATTGAAACCATTAGATCAAAATAGATTAAAGTGAGAACATGATATTGAAGTTACACAACGAAACCCTAACATTAATTTGTGTGTAAATTTCGAATCCTGGAAATTAAGTTAGCATTTTTAAGTTCTATGACATTAATTCAAATAATTATTCCACTTATTCTAAGTGGAATGATTAAATCAGAAATACCATGACAAAATAAGTCATGTCAGAATAATTTTCTTATTCACTGCTAATTACAAAATAGTACCTAAACGGCCATGAAAAACCTAATTGAGAAGAGACAGAAATGCAGATATAATTTAATCAAAATAAGATACTTTGGTTTCGTTTCGAAGCAGCGCTACTAATATTAATCCTTCAAGTACTTTCAATCATATCCATATTTACCAAGTATGCATTAAAGTTTAAAACTTTATTAAAAGTCTAGGCATATAGATAGTACTAATTGCAATTTTACTTGAAACTTACCATTGGTGCCCAAATGAAGAGTAAGAACTTAACTGTTGCATGTACAAGAGCCATAACTGATTTGCAGGTGATAGTTTGTGAAGTTAGCAAATTGTTTCAGCGAGATTTTTTTTTAATTTATTTTTCGCCTAACATAATTTATATTAAAATATTAGCTTTGCACAGGATTTAAAATTTTATTGGTGTTTTCGTAGAAATTATTTCTTATCCGTTTACAGAAGATATAGCTACTGAGGAAATTTTTAATGTGCATTATTTAATTTTCATGAATTACCTTTGAGAAATAGCTATCTGAAAGATATGAAACTTTAATGAGATAATCTAATCACCCTGATAGATATATAGATAGGTAGCTTACAGCTTTTCTAAAAGTTAACAATGGTGCAAACATCTTCAATTTTACTTTGCTAAACGGTAAAAAAGGTTTTATCCGAGGATTCTAAACTCCAATTACGTGATTACCATGGTGGAAGTTTGAACTTTAATCTTGTTAGATAGATGAAAATTAATTGCTGCCATAATAATTTAATTAAGGTGACAACTGCTATTTGAGCAGCTTAGAAACAATCAATTATTTTCTTTTATCTGTACAATTAAAGACGTCAATCAACAAAGTGGAACTTACATTAAAGTTCAGCTAATTACAGGTTATCAATTTCTTCCTTGTAACAAAACTCCATTTTAGAAACACAGTTGTCAAATTTTTATCATAACCTTTTGTAGTGCCAAGTAAATTTCAAAATTCCTTCAGAATCAACTAGTTAAGTAATGCTCTAGTTATAAGAACTTGGTACTATAGCAAATAGTGGTAGCCTGCATGATGATTCTACAGTCCTAAGTATCGGGATAATTATTCGGTTTATCTTAGTCGGATGTCGTTTCTGGCTTCGACTGATGTTTTCTAGTAAGGAATTATTATATAGAGAGTAGAGACTTTTAGATGTATGATTTGTATGAAATTGTGATTGGTAGAAAATTGGCTAAGTCCGATTGTCCGGTTTATCTTAGCCACTTTCGACTGTTCTTATGAGGGAAGAGAAGGGATTTACGATGCACCTCCCAAAACGTGATTTGTATAGCGGTTTAATAAACCTTTTGAATTTGAAGGCTATATCTATATTGGCTATTCTTATTTTGAGATAAGATAGTGCTTTGCTAATTCTAGCAAATTGATCAAATTGAAGTAAAGTGAAGTAAGAGAGATCTTACACCTTTTCTAAATAATCTTATTTGGTTAAAAATCAATGTTTTGCTACAGAAAAATTTATAAATGTATTCAAAATTAATTAATTTCTCAACGCTACGCAAGTAGGCACGCTTTTAAAATTTTCGGATATATAGAAGCTTATGCAGCTCCACACAAATTCAGGGGCGCTTTAGCATTAATTTATCACTCATTGATTTATATTATCATTCTAGGAAACAATAAGGAAGTAATTATTATAAGAAATTGAGACTGAAACAGATGTCCTGTAATATAGATAATGCATTAGGTATGTTCGAAGCCGTATCTTAAAATGTACGATTTTTAAGATAATTCCATGTAAAAGATATCTCACAGCAAGTGCGTCACAGGCTTAATACAAATAATTAATGTAATTTTAGAAATTTGAAAATAGCGTTCAAAATAATTATTATCCCTAATTAGGTAAGTTTAGCCACATAGTTATAATGTATAGTTATAGTGCGTATAAGTAACTCAAAATATAAGAGAATAAATCTAATAATAAACAAATTTCAGGAATATAATATTATAAAATTAACAAGAGTAAAATTCTTCACTCTTCATAGCATCTACTTTTAAAATATGAATCATCCTGTCTAGAAGCAGTCAGAAGAATTGAAGTACTAGTTTCTTATCATGTTACTTTAAGAGCTTATAGTTTATTTACAGTATGTAAAATTATGACCGGTTAAGCAAAATCGTTCCCAAGGCCGTAAACGTATAATATTTAGATAAATCAATGAATTTTCGAATTTGAAGAAATTTTGGATTTATTCATGATTGTACATGCAGACCTAATTACAGGTTTACGATTGAATCAAGATCAGCCCTATAGAAAAATGAAACTGTTCTCTGAAGCTTAATTATTACCAGTACAAACTCACGTCGCTTTGCTGAGGTTTACGATAATGTACCCATTTGTTAATAATTTACAGATAGTATTACCATTCGACATTATATATATCCCGGTAATAGCCAGGCATTACTATAGTCACAGCTATGCTTCCAGGATACTACTTTTCAATAATGCATTCACAGATGAAATGCTATGAAATGCTATGAAATGCTATATTAAGATTAGTTCATGGTTCTAAGCACATCATGATAGCTAATACACGATGATGGACATACCAAGTTAAGATTAGCAGGTACTGGAAGATATCGACAGTGCGATACAATGTCCTTAATATTGTGGTCAATTCTATACCAATCATTATAATGTGTCTAAGGATCGCTTGCGTAAGCAAGCAAACTTGCTTTGTCGATAACAACCGTTATAAGAAAATATGACAATCAAAATGGCTGTGTAGAAAACTCTATAAAGATTCTATGTTTATTCAATTTTCATCAGAGTATTATATCAAATCAAAATTGAAAGGCCCAGTGGCCACCCTTAGCGATATAACGAATACTATTTAAAAAAATCAGTACTCTGCAGAAATGACTACCTTAGAGCTATTCGTTTTACATGAAGAAATCTTGAGGTAAAAAGTACTGTAAGAATCTTATACTGACCTATTGAAATGAACCCATAATGACAGTCATCTAACAGTAGTATAAATACCCCCGTGCTGCTCGTTTAAAGGGTGGGTGGATGGGATAACTAGGACAACGACGTATCCCTATGTAAAGTAACTTAGCATTGTGATTGTAGACTATTAGCTATGTTTAGTATGATGTACGGTGGTATCTTTTCTGTATTTATCTTATGATAAATTTAGTAGCCCAAAATTATAGACTGTAAGGCTAGATTTCATACTAGAGCACAGATGACTATATACAGTATGGTGTTGAGCTATGTCATGGACTACTCTCCTGACAAGGAATAAAGTAAAGTATTCTGTTCCTCAAAATTGCTACTGTCAACCACTATTTTAGTTTTCGCCTAGAACCTCCCTTCTAGACTGTAGTTACATGGATAAATTTTACACTGTCCAGCTACTTTTACTTTATTTCAACTAATTCGAATTACTTTATTTCACCTAATTCGAACAACGCGATGTACTCGTAAAAGATTACTGCAATCATTTACTAACGAGCAATATTCGTAGTTACAAGTCAAATCATAAATGTTTAATCGACCCAACTTATATAGGTAGAACTGTAGAGAAAAACATCGTTCTTTGTTTAATTATAGATAAGAGAAAGATTAGGAGTCTCGAATTCCGTTAATAGATTCCCCGTACAGTTCGTTAAGATAAAACATACTAACGGGTGTAGCCGGTATGGAAAATATATAAATGACTCATTAGCGTAACATAATAGGAATGCCAGCTATTCGGCTTACATTACAAGGCTAATAAAGGAACACTCTAAATAACATACCTTTATACTACTATAGGACTCTAACCAAGTCATGTATGAAAGAATAAATCATATAGAATCAACAATAAGTATGGAAATCTATCAAGACACAAATACTTAATTTGTACGGTATCATTCACGGAGTAGTTGCACCGTGACAAGCTACTAATAACGTTACAGGTAGAAATAGAATTGTAAATCATGTACTAGGATGTGCTTAGTTCATTGTACTTTAAGTAGTAAGAATAATGTCTACGAAAATACTGCAATCATTTTTACATTGGATTAATGATGGTTTGCTGTAAAATATTGTGACTAATAAAAAGGTGAATATGTTTAAAATATGGTAGAATACTGCTATGCTGATTGTAGCTGATAAGACTACGCAGAGTATAAATGAAGGAGACATTAGATTATCTAATTATTCTTTCTAGAAGTCTTTCAGTAGATGTATTCGGCTAGAGTAGAGCTGTGTGTAGCTAGTCTTTGTATTTGATCTAATAAATTTCTAAATTTCTACAACTTTGGAATTTTCGTGATTGGATTTTATCACACCCTATAATTAGGTATGTCAGGGAACAAAATATCATAAAAATAGATTACTTACGGTAATGAGTTTAATGTTCTCATTTTGATGATTAAGATTTGATAATATTGTTGAAAAGCTAGCTATACAGTAAATTGTCTGTCTTACTATAACTACTA